GTCCCTGCGGACTGAAGAAAGGCAGGACTGAAAACACTGTGTCCTGAGCTAACCAGGCGTGCAGGGAAGACATCAGGACCTACCTGAGTGGGCCTTAAGATTCACTGACCCAGATTAGAAAAGGACAAAGCGGAGGTGGAGGAAGGCCGAAGATTTAACACTATCCTCGAGAGGTTACAATGTCACCGGGAGCAGAAACACAAAAGGCCACTACGAACAACAGGAAAAAGGCTGTGCGGGACAGGGACGTGACGCTAGGTGGGGAAGAGAGCTCCGGTATCAGCCCCGATGTAAACAGAGTGCAGAGCAGAGGCGGATCAGCAAACGAGGGCCAAGCCACCCTCCCGGGGCAGGGAGCCAAGAGCTACCGGGAGATGCGGCCGCTGGAGGCGGCAGGGCGGTGCGCAGGGCCCGGGAGCACCGCGCGCGGCTCTGCACAGACCGACTGGGGTGGCCCAGCGCGGGAGAGCGCGTCCGCGCGCCGAGGCCGCGACAGGGCCGACGGGCGCGGGTCTGGGCGGCGCCGAGGCTCTGGAGCCGAACGCTCCCGGCGCCCCGCACGCCCAGCCCGGAGCCCGCAGCCGGGGCGGGTGGAGGCGCAGAGGCGGCGCACGGACATTCCGCGGCCCGCTGGCCCCCACCCGGCCAGGCGTGCGGCCCGCGGCCGTTGGCGACGGTTGGCGGCGGGGCGGGGCGGGGGCGGACGGAGATCTCGCTCTCGCTCTCGCTCTCGCCCCGCGGGAAGGGGGAGTGGAGGCGCGACCGGCTGCGGGAGCTGCAATTACCGTGTGGGCTGCGGAATTCTCGTGGTGTTTGTCGGGGAGATGCGATAATGGCGTCCGTCCTCGCGAGAGAAGCAGCCGCTCAGCGCAGGCGCGGCGAACACCTCCCCGCGCCCTGCGCCCCGCCCTCAGCGCAGGCTCCCTAGGCTCGGGGCTCGAGGGAGGAGCCAGGCAGACAAGGGGCGGAGCCTGCTCTGAGAGCCTCTAGCGCGCGCTTTCACCGACGGACTCCGGTGAACATGCGCAGTTGTCCTCCCGTGGGCCGAGAGTTGACTCCCAAGGCCCTTAATTCCCCTATCGCGCCCGTGATTTTTGCTAAAGCGGTAAATTCTCCCGTGAGAAATCTGAGAAATGTACGTCCTTTCTGAGGGGGAGTGAATAGATGCTAATGTTGTCCGATGACTACAAATCCCAGGATAGGCTTGTGTGGCGCGATGTATTTTGGGACAGGTAGTCTCCGCAGTTATGATTTGCCTGCTGGGATTTGTAGTTCATCCGGATTCTGGCAGCCGCGTCCCTTCCCTGCCCTGAGGGCTGCTGGGACTTGTAGTGACAACTGCTCAGATAGACTGTGCGTTTCAAAACCGGTCCTACCTACTCGCGCTGAGAGGATCGGTCTCAGACGTTCCGGGCTCGTTTAGTGACGTTGTCGCAAAAATGATCCTACTCCGGTGTGGGCAAGCAGGACATTGTCGCGGTGATAGAGATTATATGTGACATGCTTATGTATCCTTTAATAGGAGCTTCTGCGGCATTGATGTGCACTTTCTCCCAGAAATGCCATTACTGGCTGTCTCTGCACTTGGTTTCTCATTCACGTTCCTCTCCGGGCTCGCTCCTTCCCCTTCCGCATGTTCGCAGTGAGCAACCCTCCAAACAAGGATCCGGGAGCTATTTTCACTTGGAAAGAAAAACTTGACCTTAAGTCTCCTGCCCCCTTCCCCTGGTGAAAGTCATGACTCAGTGACTCAGTGCAGCCACCAGTCGGGCGACCCTACTGAATTAACACTCTTCTAGACCTCTGCGCTAGGTCCTGGTGCTGGTCCTGGGCTACTTTGCCTCACAATGTCTTGAAGACCTCGACCAGGAACTGTGCTCTTAAAACGAGACTTGTCATTTACAGAGAAGAGAATGAAGTCCAAAGAGGCTGAGAAGTTGCTGGAGGTGGCGGCTGGAGCCAGGAGGGCAGGCTTTGGGCATCTTACCATTTTAAGTTGCCCCGCATCCATGTAGAAAGGAAGTTGGCAGCCTAGACTACATAGCAAATTCCAGGACAGCCACATCTTGCCGCGGCGGTGGGGTGAGGTGTGGGGTTGAGGAATGCGTAGAAAAGTAGAAAAGTCTCGTGGGAGCAGGCGCCCTCACCACGGACAGCGTCTCTGTGCCATGAGTCTCTTTCTTGTAAAGGCTTTCTTCTGGTGACCTCGGGCCCCTGGGACTGCAGGATGCAGCCTACTTAATGAAGGCCACCCAAGCTAGCAAACAGGGCAGATATGTCCCATGAACACCTCACAGCTGTATGTAGCCTCCTACAACAACCTGTTTGCTCAAACTACCTCATGAAATTTGTTTGCACCCAGTCTTAGCCAAAAGGTGAAGGAGCCTCAGGGAAAGCTGCAAGGCTCACACCCTGGACTCCAATAAAGTCCTTAGCCTGTAGGGTCCTTTCCTTTTCTCCCACCCACTATTCGACCTCCAGACACAGTGTATCCCCACGACCTATACAAAAGTCTCTTTACATGTGGTATCCCAATCATTTTGCAAAGTGGTCTCCAACATAAAGATCTGAGATTCCAGCTGACCCAGACTCCAGGGAAACAGTAGAGCAATGGGGGGGGGGGGGGAGATTTAGCCCTGATGAACCAAGAGGAGCTCGGGCAGAGACTCCTGGAGTAACTGCCTACTCCCAGCCTACTCCAGCCAGCTTAACACTTTAACTGTGAGAATTCTGAGCATGAAAGCCTGACTGTGTGGAAAACATAAAGTAACGGTGACATCATTCACAGTATGTTCGCCCGGGCACCCTCATTTCCTCCCTTTCACCCATGCCTTTAGCTTTACGTTCTTTGCCATCCCAAGACTTCAAATGCACACAGTGATGAGTGGGCGGTGACGAGCAGGCAGAGTGGTAACAACTAGCCAGCAGTGATGGGGTGAATAAAGAGCCACGGGCCTTAAAATTAGGTCACAATCAGAGATTAAGCTAATTAGAGCAAGATTGCGGAACCAGGGTCTTGAGTGTGTGAAGTGTGTGTGTGTGTACACATGCATGAGTGTTCGTGAGTATTTGTGATATCCATGCCCCTCGACAATCACCCATCTTGTTTCTTTAAGACTGGGTATATCGATGGAGCTTGCAGGGTAGGCTTGCCTGACTGCCTAGTGAGCCCCTGCGGTCCACTTGTCTCTGCCTCCCCAGCTCTGGAATGACAAGCCCACCCACCATGCCTGGCTGTTATACCTGGGTTCTGGGGCTCACGTTTAGCTCCTCATGATTGCAGGGTGTGCTCTTTATCAACTGTGTCGTTTCCCCAATCCTCTTTTCTTTCGATGTCCTGGATTTTACATTAGGTTTGTTTATTCTGTGTGTATGCTGAGAAGCTTGTCCGAGTACAATGGCACCTCGTGGAAATGAGAGAAATTCTCTCCTTCTGCCACCTGGGTCCCAGGGATCAAACTCAGGTGGTCAAACAGATAGCTCCGTTTTTGAGACAAAGTTTTGTTCTGGAACCCAGGCTGTAGCCAGCTGAGAGGTTGGGTGACAGGCCATTCTGTGTGCCCCAGGCAGCCGCTGCATTCCTCCTGTGTGTCGCAGGCCTTCAACAGCAGCCTAGTGGCCACATGTGCCTGAAGACCTTCTGCTTGGCTACACTCTTAGCTGCAGCTTCTCTTCAGTCCAGTCTCCTCAGTATTAATGTGGGATGGGCTCAAAATCCTTGGCATCCTGGCCCAGCCTCTTGCCAGCTAGGAGGCACTCCTGACCCAGGCCACTACTCCAAGCAGTTCCCCACATCTACAGAAAAGAGACAAATGCCACTGTGTAGAATTCAGCTTAAAATAAAAGGAATTTATTTGTGCCAACAGGATGGCTCACCTAGTAAAGGTGATTGACACCAAGCCTAATGGCCCAGGACCTGCAAGGTGGAAGGAGAGAACTGACTCCCACAAATTGTCCTCTGACCTCCACTTGTGTCTGGGTAAACATATGCATGAAATAAATAAGATGTAATTTAAAGTTTTATTCCATTTTGAAAATGAACATATTGATTATATGACTGAATATAAATAAAATTAATAAAGGCAAAAATTAAAAACAATACAAAATAAAAAGCACAATTCTGTTCCTCCTCTCTCTCTCTCTCTCTCTCTCTGTCTCTCTCTCTCTCTCTCTCTCTCTCTGTGTCCTTTATCTTCCTTCCACTCTCCTTCTCTCTCCCATTCCTGAGCCCACAGCCCACTCACACTTCATCCCAATCATCCAGGTTTTGTAGATCTAAGACCTGAAGTCTGTGATGTGAGACTTCCCCATACTCTCCCAGACTCGAAGCCTAAAATAATAGTAACGATGACATTTCTTTCATACCTTCCCGTCCCTGTGGGCCCCTTTAAGAAAGGCTGCTCCAAGCAGCATGGCCAGGGCCACCAAATACACTGTGTCCCTATGTGGACCCTTCATGCATGAAAGGGACACTGTTGGTGTTGGTGGCAAACCTCTGGGCAGAGTCCAGGCTTTCACCTGCTACACAGCATCCTACTTCAGGAACTATATGTGGATCAGGTGGGGTCTATGCTGTGGGTCTAGGGCATCTCCAGCCACCTGGCCTCTGCAATCAAATCACCCAGCCGCAGCCCCCACTCAGCCACTGTGGCTCCACCCTCCTTAAGCTCTTGAACCTGCCCTCTTCTTCCACCTATGTGACAGTTCTGTGTCTGTGCTACATGTCCCCAGAACAGGGTCAACACCACAGGGAAGGGGGACTTCACCCTCGCCCATCCCTCACATCCCTCCTGGTGCTCTCGGGGAATCCATGTCAAGTTTAACTCTCTGGCAAGCTTGCCCAGCTGTTTATCAGTGACCTGAGTGGCCTGTTCCCAGCCAAGGCCACTGGTCCCCAGTCATCCACTCCTGACCTGGGACAGGCAAGAGTTGAAATTTAACCACTAGGTTCAGAGGTTTTGATGAGTTCCTAAAAAAAAAAAACCAGAGGTGTACCCCACTCCACCCCACTCCACATTGGCCCTGATCAAACAAGAGTGGACGGTGGGGAACTGACACACTATGCTCAGAGCCACGAGGCTGGGGAGAGGCCTCCACAAGCCCTTAGCCATCCTCAGGCACATGGGGCCTCTCCGTGCCGTGAGGCCACAGCTCCAGTGCTTCCGGCATTCCTGTGCAGAGAAACGCGGCAGCTGTGCCTGTAAGTAGACCCTTAGGCTCTCCCAGGTGTGGGTTAATGTCAGCACAGTCCTTAGGATGGCTTTAAGAGGGAACACGGCCCAAAGCTGACTGGCTTCCGTCCTGATTTGTACGGTGTCTCTGGTCTCTGGTGGCCCTGAATGAGGCACTTCACTCTGGTCTGAGGTAAAAGAGAAGGAGAGGCGTGCTCCAAGCCTCCACTGGGCCTAAGGCACTTCCTGTAAAATGTGTGTCCTGACTCAACACTCGGAGCTGCCTGGCCTAAAGACTTCAGGCTTCTGCGTTTGGAAGGGTCAGGCCCCAGCCCTAAGTGTAGTCAATAGGTGACTTTGAAGAGGTCACAGCTTTACTAAATGCCCTGCCTCCCTACGCCTCAGTTTCCTCATCCACAGGACAGGCAAGATGGATGCTGTCTCCAGCATCTGGCGAGAAGCCAGTGTGGAAAGCCTGGTGCACGCAGATTCTGCTGTTTATCCCAGGGTACCCAGCAGCACACAGCTCTGTCTGCAAACCCCAAGGCAACCAAAGAAGCACCCAGGCCTCCAAGCCTGCTCCTGCCTAGCAGGAGCTCAGGCCTGGAAGGATGACAAAGAGCCTGGGTGATGAACGTCATCCCCCGGTGGTCCCAGCACAGTGTCCAGACTCTGGAAGCAGGAGCTACTCAGAGTTGCAGGGAGTAAGAAATCCAAGCTGCCCTCCATAAGCCAGCCATTGTGTCTCACGTATCACACCCCCACACAGGAGGATCTAGGGTGGGAACCCTGTAACCCCCTCTCCTTTCCTATCCTTTCAGGCACTCCTTTTTAAAATATATTTTTATGGTTTAACTTTATTTTATATGCATTGGTGTGAAGGTATCAGATCCACCAGAACTGAATTTTCAGACAGTTGTTAGCTGCCAGGTGGGTGCTGGGAATTGACCCTGGGTCCTCTGGAAGAGCAGTCAATGCTCTTAATGGCTGAGCCATCTCTCCAGCCCCCCAGGCACTCCTTCCGGGTCCCCAGGTGTGTAGTACCTTCTGAGACCCTGTTGGAGGCCGAGAACCCAGCCCTGACCAGACTCCCTGTAAGGCCGGGCACACTGAAGGGGATGCACGCACTTAGATTGCCACACAACCTGCACCAGGGCCGTGGCCTGGACCCTCTTTATAGTCTAGCACCTTCCAAGACCAGGTGCAAGTAGGGAAGGATTACCCATATCCACAGAGCAAGGAGGGTGGGAATGGCTGCGATCTCAGCTAAGGGTCTGTCTCGTGACTCTCCTCCACTCTGTCTGTGAGGAAATGTCAACGGGAACATATTCTGAGACTCCTGTGGATGATCACAACTGCTCTAATTCCAAGATGGCTGTAGTCATGTCACACCCAGAGGAACTTACACAGCTGTCACGGAAGGGTGAGAGATGGATTTACCACTCCCGTCAGCAAGCCCAGGTCCTGTTCTATCCAGATACATACTATGGGCAAAACAAAGTCATTGTTTCCGGTCAGCAAGCCCAGATCCTGTTCTACCCAGACACACACTGTGGGCAAGCAGCTTTTGTGGTGCTGGAAGCCTGGGCCCTGAGACTCCAAAGCCCGGGGCTAAGACTGGCAGAGCCAGAGGCTCACAGATCCACCCTCTGAGAGCCAAGGGCCCACTGCCCTGGGTTTTATAAAGCAGAGTCTTCTGGCTCCAGGCTCCAGGCTCATGGCTCATGGCTCATGGCTCTGAGCTTTAACCCCAGCACTGGGCAGCTGCTGCAGTCCTTGGCTCTAACAGCTGTGAGAAGCATCAGGCAGCTGTTGCTAGTGTTACTATTCCAGAATGTGCCGGGGGTGGGGGGGATCTTCAACCTGGGGCAGAAGTTAGTGATATAGCTGTCCTGCCTACAGGGTCTGAAGTTTGGCCCTTAAGGTTTAACAGCTCCCTGGAAGTCATCTGGTGATAGCGGTTGGCAGGTTCTCATCTTCCATCTTCATAAGGTCCAATGTCACCACTGCTGTGCCCCCCACCCTACCACTCTCTGGAACTCTTCAGCTGTCTTCTCAGTGCTTCTGTGTATGATTGTACGCATGCATACACATCAATACTGCTGCCCCCAATGACGGCCTCTTCTGTCTCCTCTTCCTGTTACCTGCTCAGCCCAAAGACAAGGTCCTTGAGAGAAGCCTTCTCCACCCCACCCTACCCTACTCCACCCCTGAGCAAGGTTTCACTGTGTAGCCCTAGCTGTCCTGATACTCACTCCATAGACCAGCCTGACCTCTCACTCAGAGATCTGCCTGCCTCTGCTTTTTAAGAGATGGGATTAATAATATAATTAATAATATTTCAGCCAGGATTGCGACTCCGCTGGTAGGGCCTGATTCTGTAGCAGCAGCCTGGACTCAGGCCGTAGTCTCACAATTGTTGGCGGGAATTCTGTGCCTGCAGGCACTGGCTCTGTTGCTGCCGCTAAAGGTAGCTTTAACTAAATCTCTACTGTTCTGTTTATAAATAAAACTCAAGGCTGGAGAGATGGCTCAGAGGTTAAGAGCATTGCCTGCTCTTCCAAAGGTCCTGAGTTCAAGTCCCAGCAACCACATGGTGGCTCACAACCATCTGTAATGGGGTCTGGTGCCCTCTTCTGGCCTGCAGGCATACACACAGACAGAATATTGTATACATAATAAATAAATATTTAAAAAAAATAAAATAAAACTCAAGACTCAAAGGCTGAGCTGGAAACCTGCTAACTTAGAGAGGCTGACGAGCAACTAACTAACCTTCTCTACTGGCTGGTGTCTCCCAAAAAGCACGTCCTTCTGCTCTGCCAAGATAAATAAATAAAAATTTTTAAAAAGCCACTCCAAATCCCTCCCCATTACTTCCGGTGTGTATCATCTCCTCCAGGTGCCCTCTGAGACTCAGTGGTTACTTTCTGTCAACTAGTTGCTAACTTAGCCTCCTGACCCAAGGTTAATTTTATTTAATTGGCATAAGTGCTAACTCGAGGTTCACAGTGTGATTGAATATCCCCCAACACTATGTAGACCAGGCCAGCCTCAAACTTACAGAGATCTACTTGCCTCTGCCTCCAAGGGTTGGAATTAAGGTAAGGTCCAGCAGGCCGGAGCATGAGGCCAACTTTACCTAGCACGAGCCTCATCTTGTTCTGACAGGTGGTCCTATGAGGCTAATGTGAGTAAGTATTTGAGACTCATTTCATATTCAGGAAGCATGGACACTTTGGATGCACCAATGAGCAGCTCCCCATCATGTCGCCGCGGCAGATGCTCTGCTCAGTACAGATGTTTCCCTCTTGGTGATCTTATTTACACAGACCAGCAAACGGATCCAAAAATATCCACGCTTCTCACACCTTGAGTTTCTGAGTCAGGGAAGCCTGAGACACCAGGCTGGAAGAGAGCTCTGCTAGGGCCTTTGGACACGCCTGCATGTGGTTTCAACTGAGCCTTCTGCAGCTGTGTTAAACACCCATTGCCCAGTGGGAAAATCAAAGGCATGGTTTGTAACATGTAAATTCTTGAGTCTCTCTTACCCCAGATGTGGTCGAGGTCCCTGCCGCTCCAAGGCCCTCTTAATAGAGCACAGGTATCCCAGGCTTGGGGACCCAGCTGGCCTCAAGCTCCCAGAGATCCCCTTGCCTTTGCCTCCTGAGTGCTGGAATAAAAGCCGTGGGTGCCCATGGTTCCCTACTGGGTCTCTTTCTCAGAGCTGGGTCCCGATGCTTCATGCCTGCCCTACTGACCCTCAGTGAAGGTATCCTCTCTGCCTCCAGGGCACCCCCTCTGGACTGGTCCTGTCTCCTCACTGGGAGGCACCCGGCAGTCTCCCATCAACATTCAATGGAGGGACAGTGTGTATGACCCACAATTGACACCGCTCAGGGTCTCCTATGATGCGACATCCTGCAGGTACCTCTGGAACACCGGTTACTTCTTCCAGGTGGAGTTTGACGATTCCTCTGAGGAGTCAGGTGAGCCTGGACTGGGATTTAGGGGCTGGGGTCCAAGCAGTCAACCTTTGAACCTGAAATGTTCCCCTAGGCAGGAGCACCTGAATACCTGGTCCCCCACTGATGCCTCTGTTCATTGAGGTATAGAACCATTGGGAAATGGGGCCTTTCTGGAGGAAGTAGGTCACTGGGGCAAGTCTTAGGGCCATATATTATCCTCAATCCTTCCCTTTCCTCTCCTTACTCATGTGTGTGTGTGTGTGTGTGTGTGTGTGCGTGCATGTGCATAGAGAGGTCAGAGATCAACCCCAGGTGTCATCCTCAGGAGCTGTTCACCTTGATTTTTGAGACACAGGATCTCTCTCTGGCCTGAGACTCACCCACTAGCCTAGATCAGCTGGCCAGGGAGCCCCAGCTCTGTCTGTCGTCACCTCTCTAGCACTGGGGTTACATGTGCAAGCACTGTGACTTGCTATTTATGTGGGCATTAGGTCCCCAGGCTTGTGTAACTGAGTCGTCTCCCCAGCCCCTGCCTCCTTTCTCCGGTGTCTGCTCCTACCATCACAGAGCTGCTCTGCCCTCCTTCCCCAACACAATGGACACACTCTCCCCTCTGGAAACTGAGAGCCAATGTAAACCTGGACAAATCTTAAGTTGCTTCTGGGAGGTGCTGGGTCTCAGGAATCAACAAGTAACTAACACAGCGGCCATTCTTCTCTTCCATGACATCACAGACTCAGCAAAGAAGGAGAACCTGGGCAGGGCTGGGAGGCGGTGCTCACCTAAGGGGGAGAAAGCATGTCACCAGCAGTCACCTGAGTCTTGATGCCGCGGGAGGACAAAACCAGAAACAGAGTAGGGTCCCTTCCCATGCCAGGCTGAGGAAAAAGCAAACTAGTTAAGGCTGGTGAGGGCTGGGCAGGGGCATAAGAGCCACACTCCGCAGGTTTGCAGCTCTCTTTGATGTGGCCATTGCAACCTGCACCTTCAAGTTCCAGGGAGCAGCATCTCTAGCGGTGGAGTCGGGAGAGCATCCTCAGTCACTCTGAGGGCCTGTCCTGGCACTACTGCCTGCCACTGTTCCCGTCCCTCTCAGTCTCAGACCCCTGATTTCACCCCACCACCACCCCACATACTCCCACCCCTCTTTAAGACAAAGGTATGCAGTGGCTGAGATCAGCCCCACCTCTTGACTTTGACCTCTAGAGCTTCCGCCAGCTTCCACCTCCACCTCCACCTCCCCCCCCCCCCCCCCCCCCCCCCGTGCTAGAGTTCTGAGCCTTTCTTCTCGGGTCTCTTTCCCGGTGAGCTGTTTGTTGTGTTAGTTCAAACCTCTTTTGGTAGCTCACTGCCTTAAGCAAAGAAGAGGGAACTTAGATGGCTCCAATTCAGAGAAGTCCAACAGGGTCCAGAGTGACAAATGCCTCCCTGGGTGGATTTCCTGGAGGTAACAAAATGAACTGTCTCGGTTCAGCGCCAGTTTCCAACTAAACAGCTGGAGAAGAGGGCTCTCTCCAATTCTGGCCACTGCCCAGTGTCCCACTGCTGGTCACCAAGCAGGGGTGACTCCCACTGGTATGTTGCCAGTGTGAGGGTGCAAGATGTGCACAAGAGAAGGGAACGTGGCCCCCCACAGGACCTCAGGGCGTGGCTCCCAGAAGTGGGAAGGAGTCTAGAAAGCCAGCTCCTGAGAATCCTCACTCTCTTACCTCAGCTGACCTTAGCTCTTCCATGACTTGATTGCTCCAAGCCCCATGACCCTTCCACTTTGACCTCAGCCTGACCCCACCCCTGGCATCATCACCTTCCCCATATGGATCAAAGGGATGCTCCCTATCCTGCCGCAGACGGCAAGAATCTGAGTGTCACGCATCACGTAGACTGGCAGCACATGCTTGGCTCGCATCCGTCCAGGCCGGTCTGCTCTTACTGTGTCCCCCCTGTGGCTTCTCTGGCTGAGCTCAAGTTCCCACGTTCCTCATTCTCTTGTCTTCTTCATTCATCTCCATTGGAAATCAGAAAGAGAGGGTGGGAAACATTGGGAAGGGAGAAAGGGAGGAGGGGAGAGGGGATGGGGATGACACCACAAGAAAGTTTCCAGTCAGAATCAGGAAATGACTCTTCCATTTAAAACAAAACAAAGCAAAATAAAATAGACAACAAACAAAAACTGAGGGAAAAGGAGAAGACAGAGGCCTCTCCTGAGCAGACAGTTAAGTTGGGGGTGGGGGAGGCACATGGTCTGGAGGCCATTTTATGTAAAGTGTGATTCTCTGGGTCTTAGTTTCATGGTCAGTGCCAGCAACTGTGGTCACATACCCGCAGAGGGCACAGAACAGTTGCCCAGGGAGTCAAAGAAGGTGTCAGGAACTGTTCCAGGAGGTAAGGGATGTGGTCTCTTATAGGTTGTCATTGAATCATGGAAGGGCTATGAATCATGGAAGCAGATAGAGCCTGTGAATGGCTGAAGACCCCTGGACTAAAGGCCTTGCCAAGGGAGGCAACAGAGAAGCTGTAGGGAGAAAAGTTTGAAGACAGAGGGCTTGGGGGCGGGGTTGTCACACAGGACATAGCAACCAGGGAGCCAGCGCCCCTTGGAAGCTACCCGGTGGAGGGGAGCATGAGATGGTGTTTAGAGCGGCAAGCTGGGCCTTGGGGAGCAGAAAGGACAGAGTGCGCCCCCATCTACTTATCAGTCGGGGGTGTGAGAGGCCAGTCAGCCCTCTGGTCAACCCTCTGCTGCTCCGTTACTGAAGCTGCACCCTGGCTCCATGGAACTGGAAGGAGGGATTGAAAATGAGGGCACCTGGAACCCCGCCAAAGGATTAAGCATTCAGTAGAGAACCTCTTCGCCCACTACGGTTGCAGCCAAGTGCTGGCTTCATGCCCTCTGCTAGGCTGTCCAACAGAGGGAATGCCAAGATGCAGGAAGCAGACACTAGCTCGGAGCTCAAGGGGGCTTTCTCTGACTATAGAGAACTTGATCACTAAGACACATTCAGTCAGTTCAAGCACCTGTGTAACAGTGACACCCGAATTGTTGACGTGAACTGAGGTCACTCTGTTACAGTCCTGGCCAGAAAGAAAACAACCAAGAGAGACGCTTCGGTTATCAGAACATGGAAACATGGACTTGGAAGAATTACATTTCCCCCCAGGAATTCACAGTGGAATGGAAAGGCTGAATCCTGGTGTTGGTCAGAAGACGACCTCACCTCCCGGGATGGTTCTGACACCTGACTCTAGTTAGCTTTTCTAGCTTAAATTATCCCATTTCTCTTTAACTACACTTTGCCTCTAGGTGTTTAACCTTTCTTTGTTCTATATAACTTTCTTTTCTTCTTACTCTGCAGCTGACTGGGTAGCTGTCCCTGGCATCCTCATCTTCATCTCATCCCTCTCTTCCCTAGGTTTCTTCTCCTATTTATTCTCTCTGCCCAGCAGCCCCAGCTATTTCTCTCCTGCCTAACTATTGGCTGTTCAGCTCCTTACTCGAGTGATCAGGTGTTTTAGCCAGGCAAAACAATACCGGGTTTACAGAGTTAACCAAATACAACATGAAAGAATGTTAACACATCTTTGCATCATTAAACAAATATTCCACAGCATAAACAAACGTAACACATCTTAAGCTAATATTTCCACTACATGTCACCAAAGCCAAGACACACTAGGCAGCTTTATTCTTGAGGGTGCTGCCCTTGGCCACCACAGACCAGGCTCCCTGGCCACGTGTCTGGGAGTTTGAAGTTACAGATTTCACTTCTGTCCACCAGGGGTCACCGGTTGCACATCAGAGAAAGAACTTGCCTGTTAGAATAAACTGAAAGGAAGCATGAAACACCCAGATAAACCAAGACTCAGAGCTGGACAGGTGACCTGGAGATAGGGCAGTAAGAACAGCAATAAGAAATCCTTCCTTATCTCTGTGATCAGACTGGTGCTTAGCCCAATTGCCATCAGAGAGGCTTCATCCAGCAACTGATGGAAACAGATGCAGAACTGTAGACAAACATTAGGTGGGGTTCAGGGAATCCTGACGAAGAGGAATAGAAAGGATTGTGGGAGCCAGAGGGGTCAAGGACATCACAAGAAAACTCACAGAATCAGCTAACCTGGGCTCATAGGGCCTCACAGAGACTGAACTGACAACCAGGGAGCCTGCATGGGACTGACTTAGGCCCTCTGCAGGTTACAGTTACTGTTACTGTTACAGTTATATAGCTTGGTCTGCTTGTAGGACTCCTAACAGTGGGAACAGGGACTGTTCCCCACTCTTTTACTGGCTTTTGGGACCCTACTCACCATACTGGGTCACTTTGCCCAGCCTTGTTACAGGGGAGGTGCTTAGTCTTACTGCAACTCAATATGGCATGTTTTATTGATACTTGTAGGAGACCTGTGCTTTCCTAAACAGAAAGGGAGGAGGAGTGGAGGAGGGACTGGTAGGAGATGAGGGAGGGGAAACTGCAGCCAGAATGTAAAATAGACAAATAAATTTATATTAAAAAAAAGAGGGGCTGGAGAGATGGCTCAGTGGCTAAGAGCATTGCCTGCTCTTCCAAAGGTCCTGAGTTCAATTCCCAGCAACCACATGGTGGTTCACAACCATCTGTAAAGAGGTGTGGTGCCCTCTTCTGGCCTTCAGGCATACACACAGACAGAATATTGTATACATAATAAATAAATAAATTTAAAAAAAAAAGAGAGAGAGAGAGAGAGAGAGAGAAAGAAATCCTTGCTTGTATCGCTGGTCTCTGCAATGTCTTCCAACAGACCCAGATTCTAGCTAGGTGAGGGGCCTGCTGGGAGCATCTCCAGTAGATAGAAGACTCCAGGGACCCCTGAGTCTGACCACTGGGGTGTGGATTGATGAGCTCAAGATGCTACATGAAGTTGAGGAGAGAGTGCTTGGGGGGCTCCCTTCTAATGGATGCTGGCTTCTTCCTTCCTACCTGCCGGCCTTCCATCCTTTTTGCTTTGTCTCCTTCCTTGGTGTTTTGACTGGGACTCACTATGTG